GCATCTTTGGGCAGTTGTGCACTATGAGTGGCCATCAAAAAGCACCCTTCATAGTGAAACGAGAACCTGAAGTGTCAACTATTCAGACAATTCGCTTTTAGCAGTCTCTCAACAAGGCATAGTAGAAATGTGTTCACCCTAGGCTGTATTACCAAATGATGGACTAAAAATGAAATTGTCTCACAATCCCAGTAAATTTCTATTTGTATAGCTGAAATATCGAGAAAATAAATCATACATGTGACACACGGACACGTGGTGATGTGGCGTAGTGGTAGCATGTCTAAATTAAGCAATGTAGTTGATTGATATAGCAAAGATAACTTTGTTCCCACGACGTTCCCACCTTCTTGAAACGCACAGCTGCCCGGTAACGCAAGGTCACTCGTGGCGATGTGACTTAGTGGTTAATGTGTTGAGATTATACGCTGCATTGTCATGGTTCGAGTCGCGCTGGTGGTGTCGATAAGACCAAGGCGAGGACGAAACTGTGGTCCACGCTAAATTAGATTAAATTTGTAAAGCAAGGATATATGAAATTCACTGGAACTTTAAAGCCTACTCATAGCAGGAAAGTAAGTGAATATATTTCATATATCTGATTTACTGTTAGTCTCGAAACCCTACTATTAAACAAAAAAATACAACTACCAATCCTTCATAACTTTATGCTACTTGAAATTAACATGTTTCCTATTTAAGATCTACTTACTATGAATATGAATAAAATATTTTCATGATGAGTACATTTTAGTGCAAAGAGCCCACAAGGCCATTTATTTTGATTTGGCTATGCCTTCGCAAATATTACCTAATTTAGAGTACATTCCATATTTTACCCGACGATCGAAGAGGGGTTTATATTGCAGTGTTTATTTTTGACATATTACCACTACACCACACTACCATGGGCGTAAGTGGGGCACGAGGAACAATCTGCTGAAAGTCTCGACATACTACTCATTACGAAGAAGTACTACTTATATTCATAATGACTAAATTTTTATATTATCAGTGGATATTGGAGGGTGATATTCTTTCCATCCATCCTAGGCATCTTGAGACATACTTTGTTTGTAATGTAACAATTCAAATTTTGGTGTTTATTCACTTTTTGCAACCAAATATTTGTCCCAAACGTCGAGATTCGGGAGCCTGAAAAGACAAATGCTTTGTTCTCAGGTCACTTGCCTCAACAAGACTCCAATAAGAGAATAAGTAAGAGCCTGAGTCTCTTGTATTAGTATTGGAAGAGAGTGACTTAGATGATTGTTAGAGCTGAAGACCTGATGGACTGGAATATCTTGAGGAGCCAATATTTTCTATAAATTTTCATTTAACACAAATTGGAATGCTGATCAGAGATGATGAATTAGCCTTACATCTGCCTTCGCCTTGGCTAAACTGCCTTTTTTTCTATCTCGCCTACACTCGTTTGGTATCGCAATTTGGAACAACCAAGACGAATACACCCACGCCGGAGGACCCAACCAACCAGTTCTACATTTTGCCGCCGGATCTGACGCCGCCTCCGCCGGCCTCGATGGAGGCCTATCGGCCGCACAGTCGAACCGAAGTCTCGGAATCCACCAGAACTCCAGACTCCTTTTGGCCTCGGCCGCCGTCTGAGATGGTAGCCTGCGAGGCAGAAGAAGATAAAGAAATCAAAGAGGAAGAAGAAGAAGAAGAAGGAGAAGAAAAAGAAGAAGAAAAAGAAAAA